GCCCTTATTGTGTTGCAAGTGCCGTAAAACACTTACTAAAACTACGAAGTCTTAATTTCCAGTTCTGCGTACGACAAAATAGGGCCGTATTCTGTCAAGTGTACTTTAAAGAGCTGACACAGAACGTGTCAGCCCTAGGGCGGAAATGATGTCATGTCATAATAATAAATAATAGCAAAGATCGTTCATAACAAGATAGTTCACTCGGCCAAAAAAGTGTCCACGGAACGAGATAGCGCTGCAGTCTTTGTTTTGAAGCTCTCTTTTGTTTCTGCAGATGAAGTATAGGAATGGAAGTTTGTTAGTTTCGCTTTTATTGTTCTGTACATAAGTAGGGTAACTCTGTTCGCAAAGTCCGCACTTTTTCGAAGAGGGCGCCACCGGATTTTGTGGACACTTTTTTAATTGGCTCAAAGAGACGAGTGAACTATCTTGTTATACACGATCTTTGATAATAGATAGCAATTGAATAGCGCAAATCCCCGCTCAACAGCAAGCTCTTTGCGCTTCACAATCTATACTATTACCCCAGCAGACCTGAGAGCATTCTGAAACAACCTCAACTTCCTTGGAAGTATACAGTGCAAGCGGCCATTTATAGGCGCTAAAACACTAACATACTGACACGACTGTTCGCTGCCTATGGCTGGGTACCCATTCCCACCTGGGTGAAGTGAGGAAAATTCATGTAAAGTGCCTTTCCCAAGGTCACAGTGTCGGGCCCGCGGCTCGAACCCCCGACCCTACAACCTCTCGATTACGGGTCCGGTAGCCTAACCACTAGGGCACCGAGGCCACAAGATAATAAGATAATAAGACAAGATAAGATACATCCTTATTGTCTAGATCCTGGCACGTGGATCTAATGTTTCATCACGCACGCGCGCGCGAGCGCACACACGCACGCACACACACACACACACACACACACACACACACACACACACACACACATGCACACACACACACATGCACACACACGCATACGCACGCACATATGCACACCCATATACTGACACACTCTTCCCTCACACATCATCTCTTCCATACACACCTGTGCACATATCCATAATAATAATGTCGCTTCTAAGAACAGGGAGTTATCCCGAAAAATGCTGTTTTGAGGAAATCGAAGGTTAATTTTTTTTGCCCCTTGTTCAGTTTCTTTAAAAGACAAGGAGAGTTTTCTCTATAACCAAACAAATATACACACCAATTAAACCAAACTTCTCCTATAGGTAGGGCAATGCCCACTTTTGGGATAGGTCAAGATTTCTGGAAACCCCGCTTAGCCTCAAAAGCGACCATATAATAGTGTGCTTTCATTCACAAACTGGCACACAGCCACATATCCTATATAATATAAATTAACAGTAATATAAAAATTAATACTGTTTAACTATTAGAATTCTGATTGTAGTTCACTGGTATTCTTAAGCGTGTTTTAAAGGTCATATGAATATTTGGAATGCCCTAGAAAATAAATCTAAAAGCCTCCTTGTATTTCTAAGAGGAAATAATTTCCGGAAACAACATTGCAACTCATAGAAGGCACAGTAGATCTTCGCATCACCATCTTTTAAGTTCAGATTATGAAAGCGGCAGGCAATGCAACTCAAAGTGGATTCTGGTGGGTTAAACCCCCCCCCCCTCAAACCTATCTTTCTTTTTTTGGGATCCTATCCAATTCTATCATCTGGCGCTTTTGTGTTTAGTAATCACGACAAACTGTGCAGCATTTTGGAATTTGAAATAAGCTGTTAGTCTAAGAGTAAACACATAGGAATTTTTAAAAATATAAATAAATAAATGAATAAATAAATAAATATGTTTCTTCACTCTTATAACGTTTATTGGTACGTTACACATTTAAGTGTTGCCATAGCTCCAACTAGACATGGTTACAACAACAGCTGGTTAATAGCTAACTGTTTGGATCACGTCAGAGGCGAAGCGTCTATATAATCAAATAATCACTGCTTCCCTTCCTAATTTTGAAACATTGTCGCAGTCAAATTCACCCATAGACGTAAACCTCATAAATTAAATGTAAAAAGACGTTCATAATAACCAATGAACAATAGACTATGCCTAACCTTCAAAACCGTTTCATTGCTACAAAAATAGCCTGTTCGCCCCTATCGGGCCACTCCATAAGCAGTCACAAGCTTTGATTAAGTAAGCTTAAAGTGAGGCTGGAAGAGTCTACTAATAGAGTTGAAAGGAACATGTGCATAGCAGTCAAAACTGTTTCATTGCCACATATACCCTGTTCGCCCCTTTCGAGCCACAGTTATAAGCAGCCACACGCGTTGATTATGTAAGCTAACTATTACACTTGTCGAGTCTACCTCACAGATGTGAGGGGAACTAACTCCTAATAATATCTTGACTGCTGCGAGTGCTTGGTTTTTTTTCCTCGACTTTTTAACTTCCTATAATCAGATCGTGACCTTGATTATGACACCGGCTCCTGGCCGCGAAAAGCTAGACAAAAAAAGCCAAATGTGAAATAAAAAATTAACAATTGGCATGCTCTACGAAAGTGTTTAGACTGTCTGGTATAACCTGCCATTGTAGTACTGACATCTCTGCTTCTTTCCTTGATGTTCGTGTATTCAAATCTAAAGTTAAATTCAAGGTTAGTTAGAATAAATATTTAATTAAATACTTTTCCGATTATTTTAGCGGTTGAATATGCATACAACATGAATTCAGGATTTGTTTTCATTCACAACTCAGAGTTGCCGCCTCCAGTAAGATTCTTGTGACTTGTGTGAGTGTGATACCTCCAGTCTCCAGGCCCTATCTGGTTTCATCTCACTTTGATTACCCTGTCAAACAAGTCAGCCTTCGCCCCTGGATCATGTTACTCTTACAATCCTCAGCTTCCCAAACCCATCCCATTTTCACTAACACCCCCCCCCCCCAACATCCCCAGATATGGACGACTGCAGCCCAGACCCGTGTCAGTTCGGCTCGACCTGCATGGACCAGGTCAACGACTACAACTGTGTCTGCGCCCCGGGCTACACAGACAAGAACTGCTCCACTGGTAAAGCAAAAACTCCGCACATTTTGTGGTAGGCCTGGGCAATGAGTCGCTTTAGCAAAATCCGGATATTATATGTTAGTGCACCTCTTCGGCAATTAAATGTGTTCTGAACCGCTTCCGCAAATGGGCTAGAACCACTTCGACAAACGGTTTAAAACCACCTCAACAAATTATGGGTGCCCCCAGTTCGGCAAACGGGGCAGAAAGAGAGTTCAAAAGTCTGAGTTTGGATAATGTTTCATTGAGAATTATCCGGTTATCCGGATAGATGCGCGGATTGTTCCCGCCACTACTTTGTGCTCTTGGTGTAGCATATTCTGGCCTTTATTCAAAACACCTTGTACGTGACCCGTTTGTTTCTGGCGTCACAATGTCACAATCTAATTTGTTTAGTAGGCTCATCATTATTACCATCGTTTTCATCGGTATCATCATTTTTATTAGTTATGTTATTATTATTATTGTTATTATAATTTATTTTATTTTTTTTATTTTTTTTATTACCATTATTACTATTTTTGACTCTGGTGGCTAATCCTTCAAAGCGAAATGGGTAGGTCTACATTTCTATCCTTCAAGGTGGTTGGATAGGGGGGGCGGGGTCGGGGAGGGGGGATGTGATAAAGAACAGCGTTTAATCAAATGATTATACCAAAAAAAACATTCTGCCATCTGATTCTCTTCCGGTTGCCTCTCTGGCGTGTGACGTCTTGTGTCCAGACGTCGACGACTGCAGCTCCAGGCCGTGTGAGAACGGCGCGCTGTGTGTAGGGCGAGAGGTTGATAGTTGTTAGTTGTAGAGTACTTGTGGACAATTGTACCTACATGTGTTTCGTTTGTCTGTTGTGGTCGGGATAGCCTGTTTTTTTCTCATAATTACAACGAACCGGACTTTATTTTATTGATTCTGGTGGTAAATCTCTCAAAGCGAAATGGTTACATCCATCCTTTTTTTTTAAGGGAAGGGGGGAATTGTCGATAAAGAAACATGTTTAAATGATTGTAATATGACAAGAATACTCTCTTCCGGTTGGCGGGTGCTCTGGTGTGGTTTACTCCTTCTTTCCTATCAAACAACTATCGTCATTTACTCTCCTCCTTCTTTTTTGTGTGTGTTAGTCTCTTGTAACACATCTATTCTTCAGCACTTATATGACTTTATTGTGTTGCAAGTGCCGTAAAACTCTTACTAAAACTAATTCTTCCGGCTGCCTCTCTGTCGCGTGACGCCACGTGTTCAGACATCGACGACTGCAGCTCCAGGCCGTGTGAGAATGGCGCGCTGTGTGTGGACCAGGTCAACGACTACACCTGTCTCTGCCCGCCCGGCTACACGGACAAGAACTGCAACACTGGTCAGTGCTCGCTCAGCCAACCCACGGCTCGTCATTTTGCCTTTGTCCTGATTAATCAATGTAACCGAAGGCTGCGCACTTCAACACGGGATCATTTTTTTCATGTTCCAGATACTATAATAACAATAAGAATTGTAATAATAATAATAATTGCTATTATTATAATGATTTATATATTATTATTATTATTAATATTATTATAATATTATCATTTAAAAAATGATAATAATGATGATGATGATAAGATAATAACTATATAGTAATGATAATAATAATGATACAATCATAATCATCATCATCATCATCATCATCATCATCATCATCATCATCATCATCATCACCATCATCATCATTATCAGCTTAAGATGGTATAAGAACTTTGTAAATTAAGAGTTCAGCCCATGTTGCCGAAGATGCGGCCATGAAAAGGAAGATGTCAAACATATGTTTGAATGTCCAGGAACAATGGCAATTCGAATGGAGTTATTTGGACGAGTGGAGGTGCCGCTAAGCATATTGACAATGGAGCAGCAAATTGTCCTCAAACTTCACTGAAAAGTGCACTAGTCTAAAATAAAATCCAACAATAAAGTCCAGGGAACCAAGCTTCAGTACTACTTTACGTTGTGGTAGTATGCTTATACACGTGTGACTTACGTTTATAATTGGCATGTTCTCCGTGGTAAGGGATTTCTTGTTTGGCCTTGAACTTGTTAAGTCCAAAATCTGAAAGCTTGACCACCCAACGACTGTCCACCAAGCAGTTGGAAGACTTGAAGTTACCATGGGTAAGGACAGCGGTGCTGTGTACGTAGATCATGCCCTGGAAGAGAAAGTAGTAACGGGTTAAAGAGCTTGGTTAGTTTTAGTAGAGGTTTTACGGCGCTCGCAACTGCATAAGGTCATATGAGCGCCAGAAGATTAGAGGTGTTACAAGAGAGTAACAAACATAAAAAAAGAAAGAGGGGAGATAAGGACGATAGATGTTTGG